CACCAACACACACAGCAAGACTTGTGACAGAAGGGTTTGATGAAGATGAAAGTGACGTTGAACATCTCCCATGGTCTGACAGTCACCAGATCTGAATATTGAGGTGTCAACTTATTGAGGTGTTTTGGAGGAGCGAGTTCACCAGTATCATATAGTGACCTGGACACTGTTCTGGAAGAGGAACGGCTCATAATCCCTCTGGTCACTGTGAAGGACTTCTATCTGTCAATTGGTGCTGTATTTGGATGCAAAATGAGGCCCTCACCATTCTAACAAATTATTGTGTAGTAAAACCAGGTGTTTCAGTTTTTTTGTCCAACCCCTGTATCATAAATAAATAAATGTTTTTCCTTAAAATACAGGGTGCATAAGTCATGGCACCCCTATGTTAAATTCCCATAGAGTCAGGCAGATTTTTATTTTTAAAAGCCAGTTATTTCATGGATCCAGGATAATATGCATCCTGATAAAGTTCTCTTGGCCTTAGGAATTAAAATATCCCCACATCATCACACACCTTCCACCACACCTAGAGATTGGCATGGTTTTACTTCAGTTAGCCGGTTTGATTTGCATTGAAAGATGATCTTATGGAAAGTACCCCATGCCAATCTCTAGGTGTGGTGGAAGGTGTGTGATGATGTGGGGATATTTTAATTCCAAAGGCCAAGGGAACTTTATCAGGATGCATATTATCCTGGATCCATGAAGTAACTGGCTTTTAAAAATAAAAATCTGCCTGACTCTATGGGAATTTAACACAGGGGTGCCATGACTTATGCACCCTGTATTTTAAGGAAAAACATTTATTTATTTATGATACATTATTCATTCAGAAAGAAAATTGGTGTCCTTAAAGGTTGGAGTTTTCCTCATTTTTCTAATTAAGGCACTAAGATTTACTTTAGCATGGGTGCCAACACTTATTCACACCACCGTATATATATATATGTGTGTGTGTGTGCGTGTGTGTGTGTGTGTGTGCTCCCTTTCCTAAAAATAGAGAGACAGCTGAGAATAGATCTGATGTGTTCCTCATAAGGAAAGCATGATATAGAATAATACAGTTCAATTGACCCTTCGCTAAGCCACGCCCGAAAACCGCCACTGGCCAATCATGTCTTAGCAACCATAACTATGCGCGGGAGGTCTGGTAAGCTTTCGAACGAGGGAACATGCTGAAGCATTGTGCGTATGGATTGTGCAAATCTGATACCGGTATACTAAAAGTTTGGATGGGGGAGAGGAATTGTTTTCCTTCCAGAAAATCTAAAAGCCAAGGGGAGAAATGATTGGCGTGATCTAGCATCTATGTGCGAGTCGAGACCCATTCTGGTAAATGTCGACATGCTTAACAAAAACACCCATTGCTTGGAAATATTGACGCTTTGGTCATAATGATAACGTAAAATAAGACTATTAAAGAGACAAGACAAAGGCTCACTGACATACTTTAAAATATATTTCAGCATTTTGTTAATCGACGTCCTACTAACGTTACCCCTTAACTTAACCCAATCCGATCGCGGCTCTCCCGGTATTAGTTATTCCACAAGATTTATTGATAAGCTGTTTGATTTATAATTATTAAGATTATTTTCACAGACCCTGCTGTGTATGAACATAGCTGTTCCTTAATTTGTGTTTTCCATTTGAACGGTCAGCGTATGAGGCACTGCTGCTTGCACTGGGACTATAACGTTAGGCTTTAACTTCAATTTTTAAGAAATTATTCTCTAATCGGTTGTATATAATGTCGTGAATATATCCCTCGAATGCATGCTGTAGTCCCTTTTGTCTTGCTCTCTCAGATATTTCACTTGTTCGCCGAAAATTACTAATTATCTCATTGGGAATGTCTGACACCGGGTGCATCCACACTATAATAGATAGGCCAGTCGCGAAAGCTTGACAGGCGTAGCAACAGTAACTAGGGAGGGCGGGGCTTAGCAAAGGGTCAATTGGAGAGCCAAGTATATTATTTTCTCATAACGTATTCCATATGAGAAACCAACACTAGTGGTCCATCTAGGTCTTGCAGCAGAGCACAGAAGAGCAGATCATCTACTCTGCACTGTAATTAAAGCTGCGTCTACACACTTGCACTGTAATTAAAGCTGCGTCTACACACTTGCTAATCAGCCGCAGGGTAGGGGTTGACGCTATACCGGTATGAACGTGATGGTACTGGTATTATGTTATACCATGATATGGATTTTGCGATACCGAGGATACCGTTAGATAATTCATAAATTCGTATTTTGCAGTTATATTGTTATGTTCAATTTGGTACTCTTTACAACTTTTAACACTACTAATGACGATACAGAATCAAGGCAGAACTGAACGTTTAACGTTCCAACTCGCATGATGCACCGGCATTAATAATCAAACACAGCATGGTAACAGTGCAATTAATAGAGCACAAACCTGCCTCCTCAAACACACAACAGCAATAAAGCAAGCACATGCAACTGCAGTTTGTGAACTCGTAACATTTAACAATGGGCACTGCAAAAGTAAACGAGATGAGTGAAAACCATAGACTGTAAAAAATATGAACAAAGCGTCTGTGACGTCACCCGTAGACTCTCTGAAGAACAGGTTTGAGGCTGTTTATTAGGGGGATTGGGCAGCGCCATACTGGAAAATCTTGGGAAATACAAAATACAAATGTTCATAAAGGATACAGAGGCGGTATGATGTGTTGTCAGATCATGGTCGAGACGTCAAATTCACTCGGCGCAGCCCGTTATCAGCTGTCAATCAAAGTTAACCGCCCTTATTTGTCATACATTTTATATCTAAATACAAATGATCTAAACTAGTTAGAAAAAAATTCACCCCCCTCACAGTTGTCAGGCACGTGGAACATATTGAAGATTACAATAAAAGTCCATGGGACCAAACTGTAAACATATGAATTTATGCTGTGAAAACGGATATTTTAACATGACGTCTATGGATATTTGCTCCCTTTTGGGACCGGCCTCTAGCGGATTTGAGATATATTGCAGTTTTTCGCACTTCCGGGTAGGCTTCATCTTTCAGATTGGAATGTTGCCGCTTGGTGAAAACACACAGAAAGTCATGTTGAAGAGCACTATGAAGAATTGGTTAAAATGAACTGGTTTGGGTTCAAAATATCCGACATCGTAGCCTAGAAATCTAGACGCACCCTAGCGGCAGCAAAAATTATTTTGCCACAAAGTGTGGTCTAGCAACTCTCCGTTGGCTTTTGAAGTGGAAAAACTAAACTCTGGTCCAGCCAATCACATCGTGTATAGAGTTGGTGGGCGGGTTAACACAATGACGGCGCAGAGTTGTGACTGCACCGTGATTTCCATATGTGATTTCCCTGATACTTGAAAACAAACAAGATGCAGCTGGCGAACAGCGGTCTTTCGATTCGACAGGATATGGCAAAAGTTGAATATATCAACTTGCTCCGCTGAAGGGAAAACGCATTGGACTCACTCATCCACAGCCGTTCATTGCTCTGGTTGGTTGTGGCGCTATCCTATTGCGTGCAGAGGGATATTGAAAGACAACCTTTTATCCCGCCCCTCGGATTGAGGTATGCCAATTGTGAGTTCCCAGATCTATCATCTTGATAGGTCTGGCTTGCCAGGCTACAGACATCGACCAACGAACAAAATTACGCAAGTTGTGTCACTGTGTTGTTGCAGCCAAAGGTGGAAACACCAACTCTTTAATCATTTAAAAAGCATGCATGTCCGCAAACATGAGGAATGCACCCAAATGCGTGTAACAGATAATCCCGGGTGCAAGTCTTCATTTGTTCTTTACTTGTTATGACAAGACGATCAAAAAGTGGAAAGACATTACAAGTGCATTCAGGCCTACTTCATGTTGTACTTTTGCACTTTTTGATGTCCAGTGAAATCCCTCACTTTTTCTAGTTATATATTGTTGAAATACATATTTTGCCTGTAATTCAACCCAGTGAACTAAAATGTGATTCCATTTTTTTTTATCATATCGCAATATAATATCGATCTCGTCCAGACAGAGAAAAATATTGTGATGAATTTTGCTCATATTGCCCACCCCTACCGCAGGGCTAACAAAATTTCTGGATACATGAAATGTGTGTCCTTAAGATTAACTAATGTAAACAAGTATATGGACTGAATAGCATGTGACAGCACTGAGCATGAGCATTCTAACTTTGCATTTTCTGGGGTGTTTGTCAGAACACTGTCAGGGTCGAAGAGCAGTATAATGGACTCCATAAGACCTCTGAATGTGTCCTGTGGTATCTGGCACCATCACATTAGCAGCAGATCCTTTAAGTCCTGCAAGTTGGGAAGTGGGGCCTCCCTGAATCAAATTTGTTGGTCCAGCATGTAGAATTTGGACACCAAGACAACACCTTAAAAAAGTCTTTATCATGTTCTTCAAACTATCCCTGAACAAGTTCCCTGCAGAACATTGCCCAGAGCATAACATTGTCTCCACCTCTCTGACAAGTTTTGGTGCTATGCAGCCCCATATGCAGCAAACTTTGATGTACTGTCTGTTCAGACACCTTCTATCGTGTGCAGAATTAAGTTTCTCAGCCATAAGCCTTGGGTGCCCGTGACCCCTACACTGGTTTCCCGGGTTATCCAACCAATTTTTGTAGGTACTAACCACGGCAAGCTGGGAACACTCCACAAGACTTGCTGTTTTGGCATGATCTGACTCACTATTTGACTCACTAAATAGCCATCACTATTTGGCACTTGTCTAAGACACATTTTTTTTTGCTCGCCCATTTTCTCTGCTTCCAACACATGGAATTCAAAAATTAACCATTCACTTGATGTCTAAAATATCCTACCCCTTGAAAGATGCCATTGTAATGATACAATCCATATTATTCACTTCACCTGTCAGTGGTTTTATTGTTAATCCGTATGTAAAACCCCATGCTAGCTGCACACCTTGAAAAACTAATGAAATACATTAATCTTTAAATATGTTAAATCACTCACCTTTTCTCTGAAGTGCCATGACCCTCCAACAATAACAGCGTGAGCTTTAAAGTCCTGTACGTTAATATCTCCTGTACCACACATCAACAACTGAGAAGAGAACCAAACAGTCAAACATTTAAATTTCACATGAGGAGACTTCACATGGGGAGTCTGTAAAAAAAAAAACTTTAAATGGTTCGAATCATTGTTAAAGTTTCTGTCACATTTACCAGTACTTGGTGAAATCCAGTCATTTACTGTAAATAGGAATGTGTCCGATCAAGATTTCAAAGTGAGGGCGATATTTTTTTCTGAGCAGAATTAGCTTGTGTTCAAGTTGGTCAAGATTAGCCTCATTCACCAACAAAAGCTGCTTGGTTTGACTTCTGTAACTTGTTAAACTTCATACATAGCTACATTTTTGACAATCACTTTTGCCAACTACTTTCAGTGGAAAGTAACTAAAGCCTGCTTGAAAAGCAATATTCATTACATAATAGTGTCATATTCGCATTCTGGCTATTTCAATACAGTCGAATTACCAATTAAACTATTCTCATTTATATATATTTCTGTTGGAGACAATGTGATGATTATGAAATAGTGACTGAAATACAGCCTATTAAGACAACATATTAAATCAACAAACACTACTCTTGACTAAATTCCTGGGCCCATATTCATAAAGAATCCAGTGCAAAGAGTCGCTCCTAGTGACAAAATTCTAAGAAAATTCTTAGAAATGTGGGCCTTTACTCTTAAAATAAATAAAAAATCCTAGTAAAGAAAAAAGTAATTCAGAGAGTATCTTAACCCTTAAAAGAGGTCTTAAGGTCAAACTTGTTAGGAGTACTGACGAGGACTTTTAAGAGGCTTAAGAGTTTCTTTAGCAGAGGAGAAATGGCAGAAAGATGACGAGGGAGAAGACGTGTTGCAGACAATGGACGACAGTGAGTTAATAAGACGATATAGATTGACAGATTTGACACCCAGCCCGAATTTTCCTTTAAGGATGGCCTAGTTCTTCTGTCCAGTCGGGCTTTTCCTTCTTGGTTTTGATTCCATGTTTGTTACATTACCAACATTCAAACCACCACTTAAATAGACATGCCAGCAATCAGTGCAATTGGAAAGAGTAGAACAATTTTTATCATTCTAAGCCAATCAAATACCTTATAGGAAATTAACAGCATGGTAAATAATAAAAAAAGGATTTATATACACATTTATAATGTGTGTGTATGAAAGAGAGAGAGAGAGATAGAGAGAGAGAGAGAGAGAAAATGGTAAAATAGGAAAAAATTTTGCATGTAATTTCAAAGTGATGGCCTAGAATAGACCCTATAGTTCCCTTCTTGGACAACCAACCAATCACATATTGTGTCATACATCGCAACAAGGTCAGCCCCGCCTCCTCACTAAGATGAAAGTTTTTGTCTTTTCCTTTCTCAGAGTTGCTCTCAGATCGGTCCCGAATCGCTCTTAAGCTAAACTCCTACGTAAAAGTTTTAAAACTAAATTAAGAGATTTCTGAGAGGATTCTTAGAATCTTTATGAATACAGGCCCTAATTTATAATAGAGACAAAATCTCCACAGACAAATAAATCAAACAATAATAGTGCAAAAGAAAAACTTTTTTTTTTCATTGACAGATAACATCATTAACTGCTCCTCTCTGTCACTCACTAAACAGGAGGGTAAGCAAGACCTCATGCTCATGAGGCAATACTGGTGAGCCTTGGAAACTAGATAAGGTTTGTTCAAGTTGTCCCTAGTTTTGTTGCTTTGAGTATGTCAACTGAACTGTACTTAGATAAAGAAAAACAGCAATATTAACTATTGTTCCCACCTCCAATTCATTCTCATCAAATATGGCCAGAAGGTTTTCAGGGACCAGTTCATTCAAACCTAAAAAGAAGAGGTAATTTAGTTAATTTGAGATTGTTTTCTCATAAAGACACTGAATTCAAGAGTCTGATCATGGACTCTTACCTTTGAGGAAGTGCTCTACTTCATCTCGCACCTGACTGGCTAGTCTGTACTGGGCCAACAGGTTTAAGTAGTGAATTTTATTCTCATTGGTCACAGCAATTTGAGCACCACCAGATATCAATTCCACTACCTGTAACATTATTACTCTCAGTGAAGGTACACAACTAACATTTACCTGTATCTTCAACTAATAAGGATGTCATAGCTTGCTTCTGGAAGGCCATTGCCCTAGAGTTTAGCTCCAAACCTAATTAAATACAACTGAATCAGCTAATCGAGGTCTTCAGACTAACTAGAAACATCCAGGCAGATGTGTTTGAGGGTGCTTTCACACTGGAAGTTTAGCTCACAGCGGGGCACGGTTCACATGAAAAATCGCTAATGTGAAAGCTGTCATAAGGACCCGGGTGTGCACTGGGGTACCGAACACAAGACTACCTGGAGGTGTTCGGTTGCTCCCGAACCGTGTTGCGGTTCGCGTGAATGTGAAAGCAACATGGACTAGGGTGCACACTTGTTCAGAAAATAAAGTGACCTGCACAAGTGTTTTATCTGATTATGATGTATTCAAACAACACATTTGAAAATCCACTGTCTCCTCAAAAGAGTCCGTTTGCAAGCAGCAGCAGGCCACCTTATGCAACACACACACACAGTAAACCGGTGTCGTTTACTCACCTGCGCATACCCGCGACCCGCGTTCTGTTTCTATCATGTGCCGTGCACGCTTGCGATAATGTAAGATGCATGCAAATGCACCAGGGTCCGATAGAATCAAGTTGAGTGTGAAACCAGAGCAACGCCGCGGGGCACGCTGGGAACAAATCATGCCGGGGCTCAGACCGCAGCAAACGAGCCCAGTGTGAAAGCGCCTTGAGTTAGCTGGAGCTAAACTCTGCAGGACATTGGCGCTCCAGGTACAGGATTGGACATTTCTGCCTTAAGAGCACTTCCATGCATACATGCATTGAACTGTATTATATTTGGAATCAAAATTTAAATGGAACAGATTTTATTTTTCATTTAATTGAATTAATGAGGATTACCTTTTCCAGGTGTCCCGACTTGCTATATTTTTCCTCTGCAAACACAAGGTCCATTTCACTGACATCATTGTTCAGAATGAAGCAGACTTTAGTTTTGTAAAATTCCTCATCATCTGTTTCAAAGTACTGGCAGAGAAAAGAACAACAAAAATGTAACAAACATTCATATAAATTAATCAAAGGAGAGTAAGTGATGTATTTACCTGCAAACTCTGGACCAATGAAAAAGATATTGTGCGTGTTTGTGTGTGGGGGGGGGGGATTTCTTAGAATCAGAAAAATTCTGATATTAGAATAGAACTACATGTCGTTTCGTTAGCAACATTATTTGAAACCACTAATAGTAACATTCTAAGCTGTAAAATGACCATAAAAACAGAATTTACGGTTCATTTTTACAGTTCAGGTAATACAATTTTTGACAAAAACTAAATGTTTTAAACGATAAAACTCAGATCCCAGCCGGTAACACTTTACTTGAAGGGGTTTGTATAAGACTGACATGACACCTTCATAATCATGACATGACACGTCATGAATATAAAGGAGGTTTTATGCATGTTTATGATAACTGTCATTAAGTGTCCTTCGTTTAATTATGACATGTTTAATGCAAATATGACATAGTTTGAGAAGCCTTTGTTATGACAACTTGACATAAACCAAAACATCATAACCTGTCACTGCCTTTGTCACGACAACTTGACATTACTAAAACAACACAACCTGTCATAAATATGTCATAAACATGACATAGCAGATTAATGATCAATCTTAAGAAAGTACTTTAAGATTGCTTTATGGATTAACATTACATTAAACTGTCATGTGGTTGGTTTTGACATTGGCTGTCAACAGCAGCCAGGCTGAATGAAAAGTGCTTATGGAAAAGCAGAAATACAGCAGCAACACTACTTTACAGAGGTAAGGTGAAAAGAAAATGGCATCAAAACTTTTATGAAGTGTTTTTCAGAACAGTGCATTTTGCCAAAAGTAGACAAGTTTGCCGGTATGATTTCCAAAATTTGCTCCCAAACAGAGGGCACATGACTACACTTAAAATGGTATTCAATTGTAAATGAGGAATGTATCAGTACAGGTTAAAATATACATTTATTAGAAGGCTAAGAATCAACTGTCACCTTGTAGTTCATTCGTAATCCAATAATCTGAGCCAAGAAGGAGCGGGTGAATCGGGCTCGTACTAGCTGCTTGTAGGCCCCACCTAAAGCTGATTCATATAGACATTTCCCCACCACTCGCCCTGCAAACTCATACATCTTCACCCTCAGGTGAGGGGGACGTTCAGTGTTTGGGTGGACCTGCCCAAAAACACACACAAAAAAAACTCATCAGATTTCAGCTCACAATATTCATAAGTGAATGTCTATATTACTGCAGTTCACTAAAGGTGATGGGTGTAATTTATCCTTTACAATTACTTTCTCCTATACCAGAACTCTTTAAAGCCACAATATGTATTTTTTCTGCATTAAAAATAGCAAAAATAACTGTATCTATGTTATATATTTCTGTTAGATATGTACTTACATTATCCCGACAGTTTCCACCAAATTTCAAATACGGAGAAATATATAGTTTAATTCGAAGACACGGGACGTTTCTTTATTTCCGTTTCGTCGCCCGTCTATGGCGTCATATAACCTTTGACTCCTCTATTTTCTCTAACTTCCTTGCGGAACCCGGCAAAACCGCCAAACAGAAAGGGGAACGCTGGACTGCCGCCAATAAAGCAAAGAAAATGACGAAGAAAAAAAAGTAGTACGTATTTTTATGTGTGTAAATCACGTGCCCGCTCACGAGCGCTCACTCTTAACAGACACTGTCCCCGGTGCTGCTCGCGCATAAAGCGCTCCCCGTTCACAGTAACCGGGTCGTCTCATTCAAATCAGCCAACTGTTGCTGTTAGCGAGCCGCGCACATTGAATACTCTTATGAGTCAGGCTGCGAATGTACGTGGCCGCTTCAGCTCTCTCATGCTTACTACAACCCGAATTCCAGAAAAGTTGGGACGTTTTTTAAATTTGAATAAAATTAAAACTATACGACTTTCAAATCACATGAGCCAATATTTTATTCACAATAGAACATAGATAACATAACAAATGTTTAAACGGAGAAATTGTACACTTTTATCCACTAAATGAGCTCATTTCAAATTTGATGCCTGCTACATGTCTCAAAATAGTTGGGACGGGGACACGTTTACCATGGTGCAACATCTCCTCTTCTTTTCAAAACAGTATGAAGACGTCTGGGCATCGAGTTTATGAGTGTCTGGAGTTTTGGTGTTGGAATTTGGTCCCATTCTTGCCTTATATAGGTTTCCAGCTGCTGAAGTGTTCGTGTCGCCTTTGACGCATTTTTTCGTTTAATGATGCGCCAAATGTTCTCTATAGGTGAAAGATCTGGACTGCAGGCAAGGCCAATTCAGAACTCTTCTACGACGAAGCCATGCTGTTGTAATATCTGCAGTATGTGGTTTTGCATTGTCCTGCTGAAATACACAAGGCCTTCCCTGAAATAGACGTTGTCTGGAGGGGAGCATATGTTGCTCTAAAACCTTTATATAGCTTTCAGCATTCATAGTGCCTCCCAAAACATGCAAGCTGCCCATACCGTATGCACTTATGCACCCCCATACCATCAGAGATGCTGGCTTTTGAACTGAACGCTGATAACACGATGGAAGGTCTCCCTCTTCTTTTGTCCGGAGGACACGGCGTCCGTGATTTCCAACAAAAATGTCAAATTTGGACTCGTTTGACCATAGAATACTTTTCCACTTTGAAATAGTCCATTTTAAATGAGCCTTGGCCCACAGGACACGACGGCGCTTCTGGACCATGTTCACATATGGCTTCCTTTTTGCATGATAGAGCTTTAGTTGGCATCTGGAGATGGCACGGCGGATTGTGTTTACCGACAGTGGTTTCTGGAAGTATTCCTGGGCCTATTTAGTAATATCATTCACACAATCATGCCGATGAGTGATGCAGTGTAGTCTGAGGGCCCGAAGACCACGGGCATCCAATAAAGGTCTTCGCCTTTGTCCCTTACGCACAGAGATTTCTCCAGTTTCTCTGAATCTTTTGATGATGTTGTGCACTGTAGATGATGAGATTTGCAAAGCCTTTGCAATTTGATGTTGAGGAACACTGTTTTTAAAGTGTTCCACAATCTTTTTACGCACTCTTTCACAGATTGGAGAGCCTCTGCCCATCTTTACTTCTGAGAGACTCTACCTCTCTAAGACATCCCTTTAATCATGTTACAGACCTGATATCAACTTAATTAGTTGCTATAGATGTTCTCCCACCTGAATCCTTTCTAAATTTCTTGCTTTTTCAACCATTTGTTGTCCCCGTCCCAACTATTTTGAGACCTGTAGCAGGCATCAAATTTGAAATGAGCTCATTTAGTGGACTAAAGTGTAAAATTTCTCCATTTAAACATTTGTTATATTATATATGTTCTATTGTGAATAAAATATTTGCTCATGTGATTTGAAAGTCGTATAGTTTTCATTTTATTCAAATTTAAAAAACGTCCCAACTTTTCTGGAATTCGGGTTGTAAATAAACGCCTCACCTCCGGCGCCGTGCACTCACTACATTCCCTTTAGCCTTTAGCACATAGTGGATGAATAACGCAAACCCAGTCAAACGTTTAACTGCAGTATCTTATGTGCTTTATAATCCGGTGCGCTCTATATATGAAAAATGTTCTAAAATAGGTCATTCATTGAAGTAGCGTAATATTAATATTTATATTCGTCTGTATAATACTTATGGACCACGATTACGCTTTGCCTGCACGTTCTGCTGCTACAGCCAGCTCATTAGCTAAAGCTCAAACGTACCTGAAAAATATGACCCGAGAAGGGTTTGGGACAGGAGAAGCATGACACAGGTAAACATTGGCGTTGCATTTAAAGCTTCTTGATAAGCTAAATCTACAGAGAGATGCCGTATATCCGTATATTTTGTGAAACGATGATGTCATGTCATGAGCTGAGCTGGTTGTCATTGACAGCGACAACAACTCCCGTGAGCCCACGCTCTTTCCCGACGTCATCAAAGTACGTCTTTTGTTATTATTTTAAACGAGTGACCCCTGGTGGCCAAAAATCGCATACTGTACGTTTAAATAATCTTTACAGAACATAGAGAAATGAGAATAAGTTTTTTTTTTTTTCACAGAAAACTAAGAGGTAGATACTGACTTACCAACCCTTGGTTGTTGTCACTGAAGCGTGTGAAAAGCTGATTATTGGTATCAAACAGAGCCTTACAGATAAGCTCAAACCACTCACGCCTTGGCCCTCCCCAGTCCAGAGCTAATAAACAGCCAAACACAAACAGAACAAATTAACCTTTAAATAGGATTTATGTTTATTCAGACTGTTTGATAACACTGTGTTTCTAATAACACCAAACAGTTAACCAACCTTCCTCATCCTGGAACACAACTTCAAAGTTCTTACTCCAATCAGACACAGAAAAGTTCCGTGTGGCCTTCAGAGACTAAAAATGGGGGGAAATTAACATCTCTTTTAATTCCCGTAAAAAAAACGTGTCTATACTACACAAAAGAAATAAAAGATTCCAAGAAATAAATAGGGCAGGTTTGTGTGAGTATGTTGTTCTGAAACCGGTTTTATACGGCCCATGAGTAATGATCTACCAGATTTACTCACCGACTCAAGCAGAGAAGGACGGCTGATTTTCAGGCAGGTTTTAGTGCGAGGTCTCTTTGAGTGAATGTGTCTCAGCTCCCGCTGAAAGAAGTTCACTTTATCCTGAAAAGTCTCTGATCCTCCTAGAAGATGCACAAATGACATTTAACACATCAAACACACCAACATGTCTACATTTGTTTGTATTAACTGACAACCAACACTCATACTAACCGATGTTCTTGTGGAGAAATCGGATAAAGGTGGCAGCCATTATATTTCTGTCCTTACAGCTGAGCTCTACTGGAGGTTGAATCCCATCATCGACCACCAGTGTTAGGTATTTATGAACAGGATCTGGTCCATGGTACGTGAACTGCCAGAGACAGGAAAGAAGAAATTAATACTATATATATATATATATATATATATATATATATATATATATATATATATACATATATATAAATATTTTTTTTAAACCTTAGTTCCGGGGCACACACGGAAAGTGAAAAGGCGCCAAGGAATAATCTTCAGGTAAAACTCCTTCACAGAAAATTGCTGCAACACAATATAATACGTCAGTATCCAAATTAACAAAAACTATATTAACAAACAAAATTAACCAAACAAATGCAGCACTAACCTATTTACAAAATATTTTACCTTTGGTGAGATATAGCAATAAACCTTTTTTGGTTTCTTGACCTTCTCTGACTGACCCTCTACAGGGGAGTCATGTTCCTCCTCCTCATCGCCCATGGAGGGCCGTCTCTGTAGGGCTAGCTGGGACGATGCAAGTAACTGCCATGGACAACTACTGTAAGTGCCTGTGTTGTAGAGGTAGGCCTCGAAGTAGATGCTTATGCCGGGAGTAGACACGTTTTTCTCCACACAGTTCTTCTCATTTTCTATGTAAGTGCATAATGACAAAAATACATAGAGAAAAGGTTATAGAAATTGTAAGAGTTTCTATGTTGCATAAGTTGTTTTTCATAGGTCTTTGACCGGTCTTAACGATCAAATGGCAAAATAAGCCTCAAAAGTTATTAAAGATCTTTATAAAAATTTTCGATGCAGAGTATGATAGCTATATTAAATTATAGCTGTCATGGGATATGTATGTACAGTATTTGTGTAATTTACGGTCAGCTTACAAAACCATGTATAAAATGTGTTTATTGTAATAATGGTGTAACGATACATCGAGACATTGCAATAAAAAAATGCGATGATACCATATGTATTGTTGATGTAAACAATAATTAGAGCGAAATAAAACTGTCTAAATCAGAAGCCATTGCTTTGTTGTCAGTCTTTCTTCTTCCCCCTCCACTCAACAGATTACCACACCAATTTTTGTCACATTTTTCAAAACTGGTAACAACTGACTAGTGCTGAACAGGGGTTTCATGACCCTTTAAATTGAAGAAAATAACAGTTTCCAAAGTTAGCTGGTGTCCATAAGAAACTGTAATAATAAGATAGATAATAATAATAATAGTAATATAAAAAGTAATAATAATAATAACAATAATAATGATAATAGATTAGCTTACTCCTCATTAAAACAATTTTACTATTAATATATTAATTATATATAAACTATAAACTATTATAAGCCTATAATTAAAATTATCAACAGTCAAGAACATGTCAGAACATTGCACTAATCAGTCATCAGTTTAATAATTTATAAGTGATGTATAATTGTTTATGAAGGCTGGAAATAAAAAACACCTTATATTCAGGTGTGCATAATTATTAGGCAAGTTTTCTTTTACAGATAAAATGAACCAAAAAAGAGATTTTAAATGTCAAAAATTATTAAATACCCATGAGAAGGATGCAATAATAATCCAATTCTTAGAAATTGCAGTTAAGTCATGACCATTGGACAGTGAAATGCCCATTGGGTCAGCGAGGTTAAAGGGGCGATGAACTGCGAAATCCAAATTACCTTGAGTTTTTGACATCTAAGAGGTCATCATATTATAAGAACATCCTGTAAGTTTCCGAACTGAAAACGTCCTTGTTAGTCCAATAAAAGCTTTTATTGACACCAGAATCAGCAAACGACTCGTTTTTCAAAGTGGGGAACTATGACGTCAAAGAGGATAAAACACGCCTACCGATTTGCGCATTAAACGCATAGCCAAATAACATAGATGCCTACCTCGTGGTGACAAACCGGATCGAGCTACCGAGCGAGCAATACAAAACATTGTGCAGTGCCTGGTGGTGGAAGAAGACAGTGGCTGCATATGCTTTCTCTGGATTCCAATAGGACTGCATGGATAAACTTTATTTTTAATGACGTTCCACTCCAGCTGATGAGGGTAAAACATTGTCCGTCTGTTCGCTTCATTTCACTGAGGATTGTTTTGTAAGCAAGACTGGATTTGCAGACCGATTAAGAGTAAAGAACGGTGCTGTGCTGTCTATATTGGATCTGACAGGAATTGTGCAACACACAGACTCTGGGTCGAATCATTCCGGATGCCATTTTACAACATTAGACGGTTTCAAAACAATTTTTCCCAAGTGTATCTACGGGTGAGTTGAAACTCATTATAATATGCAAAACTGTTATACACTCACAGCAGTGGGCATTTACTTCCAAGTCTTCAGTGCAAGACGACCATAAAAACAGAGCATTTTTCAGGTAGGCTCAAAACTTGGGTAGAACATCGCCTATTACTTATTAATTTTGATGTTTTTGAATGTGAAAACCAAGTGAACGTCATAAGTTGACCTCAGACAACAATATAATAAAATTTAAAAAGCCAGCTCATGACCCTTTAAACAAAAACAGAGAAGAAAAGAAAAACAGAGAAGAAAAGAAAAACAGAGAAGAAAAAAAACAGATTTTAACTGCAAAAGAATGGAGAATTAAGATGAAGAATTAAGCGTAAAACCACCAGGAACCCTTTAGCCTCAATTTTACAGAACTGGAACCTACCTGGAGTCTCCAGAAGTGCAAGGTGTCAGGATCTCAGAGACTTAGGCCCCGTCCACACGAAGACGCGTTTCGCTGTATACATATAAATTTATCGTATTGGCGTTTCGTCCACACGGATCCGGCGTTTTGGGAGAGTGAAACCGCAATTTTTTGAAACCGGGTCCCAAGGTGGATAAATTCGAAAACGGCACCCTTGTGTTTTCGTGTGGACGGCCAATATTTTGTGAAACGATGATGTTGTGTCGACTAGTCAAACAACTGCCAAACTGCTTGTATAATAGTAATATAATATAATATACTATGCGGCAGAAAGTTCTGAGCCTCTTGTATTTCTTTATTTATTATTTACTTGAATGTGCTTTTTTAGGCCTAGGCATAATCTTTCGTATGCTGCTTGTCTGTTACTGTCACGGGTGTGGTGGAAGTGCAGGTGGATGAGGAAGACAGATGAGCCAGAAACTCCAATGCAAACGCTTTACTTAAACTTGACACATCCAATGGAACGGAACAGACTGGAATACACTCAAAAAAAGACTATATAAGTACAACGATCGACCAAGACTGAAGGAAACTGAGGGAACTAAATACACAGATGAATCAAACATAATGGAGTGAAAAACAGGTGAAACAGATGATCAAAACGAGGAACAGGTGGCTGATGAGGGAGTGAGTTCAGGAGAGGAGACAAGAGGATCCTGGGAAGTGTAGTGCAGATGACGAAGACAGACTGGTGCAGCCGACAGGCTGTGACATCACTCCCCCCTCCCGGTAGGCGTGACCTCACGCCGTAACATCAACGGGGAGGGGGGGTGGGCGCCGTGGAGGCTGTGGAGGGCGTGGTCTGGAGTAGGAGGCCCTCCAGGGCGGAGTAGTATAAGGGCGTGGCCAGGGCGGAGCAGGATGAGGGCGTGGCCAGGGCGGAGCAGGATGAGGGCGTGGCCAGGGCAGGCGGAGGGCGTGGAGGCCCTCCAGGGCGGACCAGGGCAGTAGGAGGCCCTCCAGGGCGGAGTAGTATGAGGGCGTGGCCAGGGCGGAGCAGGATGAGGGTGTGGCCAGGGCGGAGCAGGCTGAGGGCGAGACCAGGGCGGAGCAGGCTGAGGGCGAGACCAGGGCGGAGCAGATGGAGGGAGGACCCCTGGTGGAGCCGAAGGAGACGGGGCTGACAACACCAGGGGGCCGACTGACAGGGGCGGAGCAAGTGAGAGAGGAGACCAGGGTGAAGCTGAGGGACTGAAGACACGGGGTGCTGATGAGGGACCGAGGGAACATGGTGACACCGTAGGCTCAGGTGACTGAAGTGATGCCAGGGGCACAGAGGGACACGGTGAGGACAGAGGGAGTGAGGGCTGATGGGTGACTGGAGGGAGTGAGGAGTCCAACTGAACCGGGGGGGTGAAATGACGGGGCGAAGCCAACAAATGAAAGTCCAGAGGTGAAGGACGGGCGATAAGGGACCGAAGGGAATCCAGAGGGACGAGGGAGCCTGGCCGAGCTGGTGGACTGAGGGACCATGGAGGAGCTGAGGGAGGTAAGAGCCACGGGGGAGCCAATGGGACCGGGGGCCGAGGAAGTGTCCATGTGGAGGAGGCGGGAGGCGAAAACTGGGGATTCACTGACCAGGCTGGTTTCGGGGAGCTGAAGGGCAGGAGAGCAGATGGAGGACAGATGAGAGGAGGCGGGAGAGGGAGGCTGGGCGGGATCCTGGTCTCTGGTGCAGGCTGGACGGTCTGGACGGTCTCTGGCTGGACGGTCTGGGCGGTCTCTGGCTGGACGGTCTGGACGGTCTCTGGCTGGACGGTCTGGACGGTCTCTGGCTGGACGGTCTCTGGCACTGGCTGGACGGTCACTGGCGCTGACTGGACGGTCACTGGCGCTGGCTGGATGGGGCTGGACGGAACCAGCGGTGAGGGGAGTTCAGGCTCGGGTGGGCTGGACGGAACCAGCGGAGGGGAGAGTTCATACTCGGGAGGGCTGGACGGAACCAGCGGGGCGGAGAGTTCATGCTCGGGAGGGCTGGACGGAACCAGCGGAGAGGAGAGTTCAGGCTCAGGAGTGCTGGACGGAGCCAGCGGTGAGGGGAGATCAGGCTCGGGAGGACTGGACGGAACCAGCGGTGAGGGGTGATCAGGTTCGGGAGGGCTGGACGGTTCTGACTGGTGGGCGATGAGGGCTGGTGCGGTGATGATGGGGGGTGTGTGTGGTTGAGTGGTGCTGTCATCTTCAGCCTCACCAACGGTGAAGGCTGACCCACTCAACCACAACACATGGTCCAGGTATCCGGCGAAGGTCCCTGGAAACGCTGCTGCTGGGGCTTGCTGGTACAGATGATCGTCCAAACCCAGCCAAAAGACTGACTTTAGGACGTCATCTGACCAACTCACCCCAGCAGAGAGCTCCAGGAACCTGCCGACATACTCCTCACAGGGAACTACACTAACCTTTTCCACTGGTGGCACTTGCGCTACTAACTTTTTCAGTTACTGGCGCAAAACATGATTTGGTCGCACAAATTATTTATAGTAAGCCGCACTCTGGATAGTAATGAATAATAATGAAACTGCATTAGGGGTGGAACGGTACAGAAGTCATGGTTGGGTCGGGTTCATACCTTGGTTCAGACATTCAGACGGTTCGGTACGATTTCGGTACAATGGAGTGAAAAGCAAAAAAAAATGCAGAAGGCATTTTTATAAATGTCTTAAGCCTCTTATTTTTTTAAGTTGTTTAAGTTTTATTAATAAAGGCATAGAACTAGTTTATTTGTAGTGCACTGACAATAGTTTTATATAATTAGTTTATTAATTAAATTAATAAAAAGACAAAATGACCTTGATATATGTTTGGTAATTGTACTTGAATGAATGTAAAATTAATTTGCAATATTTCAGATCAATATATTTGTTTTCCTTAATTTTAACTAACCCTAACTTTATTCTCATCTGAATTATAAATACACGATTTCCGTATAAAATAATTACCAAACACATTTGATTTTCTTTTTTAATCAATGTAGAATCATACGCAGGACTGTTGGAAAGCTGTGATGGCAATAAAATGATAGCTTATAAATATATCTCTGGTTGTTTCTGTTCCACAACATTTTGTATGTCATGTTTGGGGTGTGGGATGAAGAGAGGGATATTTTCAGTAATTATTTAATAAAACATTTAATTTATCTTCAGTGTGTATTAGCCAATCGGGTGTCTTGACGCGAATCACGCGATTATGATTATGAAAAAACTAACGTTAGTCAAAAAACTGCTAGTGATCATATAACGTTAGTTGATGTCAATATCAGCGCTAGCAATATAATTAGTTAGCTCATGGCAGAGTTTATCAGCCGAACACCAGACCGCAAATCTACCTTTGGTGTAAGGGAGAGACACGGTGTCTTACATCTCTGCGTCTTTTTCCTGCCGCCATGCAGGCTCAGATGGTAGCCTATATGATTATGATTAGCATGCCTATTATAAAGACACAAACCTTTTACTATCATGTCATTTGAATAATATGCGCGCGATAGAGAGAGAGAGCAAGACAGCGCTTGTGTTGTGTGAAGACGTGATAGTGCGCGCGCGGCTCTCTCTCTCTCTCTCTCAGCTCGTTTGCGCCCTGTCAAACGAATCAGTCATTCTACTCTACAACACTCACCGCGATCAAAAAAGGCTTTGGCGGGACAAAAAGCGGACGATCCGACAGGTTTTAGAAGATTAGATACATACCGAAAGAAACTAAAAAAAAAAAAAACAGACCCGTCAAAATAGTCAGTGATACATTTGCGACCTATAAAAAATTAGGGTCGCAATGGGCTTTCAAAAGGTCGCATATGCGACCATTTTGGTCGCAGTGTAGTTCCCTGCCTCAGAAGAGCGTCCGTCCTGGAATAGGTTGAGGGTGGTGAGAGCCGGGGTTAGGAGAAGTCCCATGCTGTCACTGGTGGGGTCGATCGTTCTGTCACGGGTGTGGTGGAAGTGCAGGTGGATGAGGAAGACAGATGAGCCAGAAACTCCAATGCAAACGCTTTACTTAAACTTGACGCATCCAATGGAACGGAACAGACTGGAATACACTCAAAAACAGACTATATAAGTACAACGATCGACCAAGACTGAAGGAAACTGAGGGAACTAAATACACAGATGAATCAAACATCATGGAGTGAAAACAGGTGAAACAGATGATCAAAACGAGGAACAGGTGGCTGATGAGGGAGTGAGTTCAGGAGAGGAGACAAGAGGATCCTGGGAAGTGTAGTGCAGATGACGAAGACAGACTGGTGCAGACGACAGGCTGTGACAGTTACCTGATAAAGACATTTCGCATTTTATAGGGATGGGGATTTAAAGCAAAAATAATTTTCGATGATCGATGGGAATTATTTGATTATTTTGGCTATTCAAAAAACACACCTGTTCCACTCCGACATTACATTTCTCTGTAGGTTAAGCGTACGTGTTATATCCATTAAAGAAATGTATTTAGTTGTGGTTGTGGAACCATATTTATACATTTATGTTTAAAAATGTTATTTTTATTGAATCTATGTTGATTGATTATGAAAAGTGAACCGCGTGCATACAGTATGCGCAATAGGCTATGTCGGGAGACCAATTTTGACCACATTAAAGGTTGTCTAAGCGATGCTGGGCCAAAACATTTTTTGTCACATACATCAAACGTCTCCTCACTATCGGCTAGCTGCCTGTCCCCTAAACACACTGTAAAAAAACGCGGTCTCTGTAGACACCACAGGCTCCACAAACGGCAACAAAAACAATCATGTCTTACCCGGACCACGAAACCTAACAAACAGTGTTCCAGCCAATCACTGGCAAGAAGTATTTGAGGGTGGGTCTGGGGGGTTAGTGCGCGTGCAAATGAAGGGTGTGTGTGTGTGTGAAGGAGAGCAGCGAAGCATCAGAGGGAAGTTTGAAAAATGACCGACACACGACCAGAGACGTCGTTCTGAGGAACAAATTAAAAAGAAGAAGGAGTCGGATAAAGAATGTGCCAAGTTCCGAATTTACATCGGTAGCAAAGCTTTTGAACGATGGCGAGAAGTCCGGCGGCAGAAGGGCTTCCAGTCCGACATTCAGGTTGCTCTGTTTTTGCTTGACAGGTGGGTAACGTTAAATTTTTTTTTTCTTCTAAATTGACGCTTATGTTCGCCAAACCCACACAAGGATATAATTAGCTAGAACTATGCACGTTCACAATTATTTCAGGAAGCACGGAAGGGAGGGGGAGGAGATGAGATGCGGAGGAGGGAGGGTCTAGCTCCGATTTGTTTGAAAATATTCGAACGTCAACACCCAGGATCGCTTTGAGAACCTTTAAGTTTTGTTTTTGCTTTTTATAAATTGTATCTTTATTTTAATAAATGTTTCATCAACCAGTTACCTGGATTTAATAAAAGAAGCACATATAGGCTATAGCAGAATATAATCAGGACATGGACGTCCCGGCGCGATTTAACTTGCATTGCTCGTGAACTGGAGCTCGTCACATAAAGGAACCGAAACTCATATATAGAAATCTTGAAATGTCTACGTTTAAACAACATCGACAAACAACAACTAAAAACGAACAGAAACAGATACTCTCTCTTATAGCCTAATCCGTATGAAGTGCATTAGCCCACTCCATAGGCACATTCACAATACTGCGAAGTGGCGAGTCAGCATCATTAACTTCCTCTTTTCAGTCAAAAATGACACAGAAAACATTAGTTTATTAACAAACAATTAAAATGTCTATTCTTTGTGGCAAGCTTTCTGAGTCCGCAAGCTAATCGAATATCGTGACTCCCTATTTTGTACCAGGCAATTTATGGTTGTTCAATTAAGTTCTTGGTAAAAAAGAAAATAAGCAACTGTGCGTAATATTATTTCATAGCCTTTTCATTTTGACCTACAACGCGCAAGGTTTTATGCGCATGCTTTAAGTCTTCTTCTCGCATTTTTAGTGGATATCTATTGCAGATTTACAGCGCCACATACTGGTCTGGGGTGTCTACTACATCGTTTTCAGTCAGTTTCAGTGGTTTCGTGTGGACGCAGATATTTTTCGAGACGCCTCCGTGTTTACGGACTTTTTTTTTAGAATGAGGAAAAAAAATATCGGATAGGGAAAGCTCTGGCTTCGTGTGGACGAGGCCTTAGGTTAGGTAAAGAATCTTAAAAAAAATTACCTCTAATTAATCAGAATCACAAGCTGAAGTGAAGTACATGAAGACTGCTATTTATAGGCTTTATAGAGAGACAAAATGAGAGTGACTCAATCCAGTACCACATCCTCTCGTACCACTATTGAAGAATTCCAGAATCTAGCATTAAGTTTTAGGAGTTCATTAAGTTTTAGTCATTTTAGTTCATTTTATCTCAGCAAAATGGACTTCAAGGTACCTCAGTTTGCAGTAATGCACTATAAAATTATTGCGGGGCAAATTTATTTAATATCAGTTTGATAATAAAAGTAGGCCTACCCTAATAATAATAATAATAATAATGATAATAATAATTTAATACATAAATTGGAAATGCTAAATCCAATTATCTCGCATTTTTGACACGTATTGGAAGCAGAAAAGTCGCAGCTGGCCGATCGGACCGTATGTGAGCACATAAATCGTGAGCTTTGGCTTTCATGACATGCTATCTAATCGTACAGTGTGAGTTGGTAACCTTGCTGAAATAGCTCAGACATCGCACAGTATATGCCTGGCTTTACTGCATTGGCAGATTTTTTTGAATTCTTGTTTTAAAGAGATAGTTCACCAGAAAATGCAAATTATGTCATCATTTACTCACCCTCACGTTGTTCTAAACCTGTATGATTTTCTTTGTTCTGTTGAACACAAAAAAGATTTTGAAAAATGTGGGTAACTAAACCGCTGCTGGTCCCCACTGACTTCCATACTATGAAATAAAAATACTATACTATACTATAGAAGTCAATAATAGAAACTGTAGTATAGGAGCAGAAACTGTTTAGGTACTAACACTCTTCAAAATACCTTCTTCTCTGTTCAACAGATCAAAGAAACTCATGCAGGTTTAGAACAACTGTATAAACAAGTGAAATATAACAAGTGAAATAATTCTGGTAATTTAGTTTCACCATTTCACCTGCATGTCTTTCGATCATGGGGGAAACGTGAAACACACAGAGGAAAACAAATAAAAAATAAATTAATGTGGGGATTAAAAAAAAAATTCTTATCATGCTTTGCTCTTTGTGAGTACAATCTCAATAAAAAGAAAAAAAATCTTTATCAGGGGAACACAAATCACTGGAAAAGTCAGAAAAAATGTGATGAAAAGGCGTTAGAAGCATTTTAGTAAATCTCCTCAACAACCCTCTCCAATACCAAGATTAACTCACCACTGAGCACAATGATGTCAAACTCCCCATTGCTAAGGGGCTGGTCCCTGTATGAGATGCATGCTCTAAAGCAGCCTTTTTTCCTGAAGTTGAGCCTCATCAAAACCTGACACTGAGGCTTGTTTAATGATACCGATGTGCTGTAGCAATCATCTGAGCTCTCCTCCTCCTCCACTGTGCCCAACTGTAGGAACAGTAAGAAAAAGAGATTTAAATACAAACTCAGAAAATTCTTTTGGACCTGCAACCTGTCTAATGCTAATACATAAACACAAACTTCTAAAGTTTGAACTAAAAACTATGAACTGTAAGTATGCAGTAAGTGCCCTTACTGGGTGGACATGAACGCTGTAATTGACCTCATCCACCAGTGAGATGGAGTTACTGGTGGGGTTGCCATACTCATCCCTTGGTTCTATCTGGAGCGTGTGCTGCTGGCCGTAAGTCAACACCAGTGTTGAGAAGTGGTACGCAATCTTTGTTTTGGATGGGACCACTGTACCTGGAAAACGCAATTAATATCATGAGTCATCTACATCTGTTCATTTTGACTAACAGAGTAAGTTTTTTGGAATGCATAGCTTAATGCAAGCTTAAATATAACAACATATTATACGTACTGTACATATCATTTTACATTACTAACAGAAAAGTGTTATAAAACAGGAAGACTGACAATGGATATGCTGGTTCTTTTGAAGGTCTTTCGTTGGCTTCTATTCTAGAGCAAAAAAAAAAATTTCTTGTTATTTATTTTTTAGTTATCTTTGATATTTGATGGTGTTGTGAAAGGAATTTTGCTATTTATTTCCAAGATATTTTTACACATGTATCGCTTAGTTTTAAATCAATATTTTGTTCAAGGAAGAGCAGACACCAAAGGTGCTGGAACCTTATTGTATTTGTTCCAATTTTCTGATTATTAGGGGTTTAAGCACTGAAGGGACAATCTTCTTTCTATTATTTTCTTCCCTAAAAGTATATAGGTATCAGAGAAGGTAAATTGTAAAGACCCCAAACTTGGCAGGATGGTTCTAAAGGTGTGCATCTACTCAAATACACGGACACAAATCCATCTGAAAAAGTGGTGCTATAATATAATATTCCTCAACACTGTGTCAAGGTGTTGATATGGAAACGCTTCCAGCATTGTGTAAAATTACGCCAATTCTATTGGCCGTTGGATGTTAGGTGACGAAGCTTGCATGTCTGCTGTTTATCAGTGGGATTTATTGTGACATCTCACTCTGTTTTACATGGCCAGCAAACAGTTCAGGAATTGTGTATCGCCCATACCCCTGCTTTATTATGGAGGATGAAATGCATGATTTATGTGTAATGTGTTAGGACTAGAATATGCCCAGTCAGCACTTGAGTGGGCTGATTGTCCTAACTGTGAACGTTTCATGCCTGACATTATGCATGAGGCACCTGCACCCCATGGTTCATGTCCTGCATCTGCCGAGTCAGCTCTTTGAGTTCGGTCATTGGGGTCACATGTGGAGTTGGCGGTAGGGCTGCTCAATTACGCCAAAAATCTTAAATCACGATTATTTTGGTCAATATTGAAATCACAGTGGTATTCAGATAAGTAATAGCCTACAACAGATATTGAATAAAGTAATTAATCTGTAAAATAACACTGCTGTATACATTAAATATTGACTAATCCTCTCTTTTCTTGTTTGATTAACATAAATGTCTCCAGCAGTCATTAATGTTGGCCGCTGTCACTTTAAGAGCTAACGAACAAACCCAATATACTGTGTACACACGTTTCTCAAATGTTTCAATCATTTAAGCCATAACCGACTGTGATTACGAGGATACTTACCAAAACGGCATTTCAACAAATTTGTAAATAGGCTATTTGACTGTTCCATGGACTGGTGCCTTGCCGTGCCGAAACAGTTTGTGAGACTCTATGACCCCGAGAGCTATGCTGGCTGAGCTATGCTGGTAGCTTCAAGCAAGCCAGGCAGGTCAAAAGCGAGCGACCAGACAAAATCCAGTCCACCCTTTTAGCCCGGCAGCAGGCTAGTATGCTGAGTATCAGATCGCGTTTTCTGTCACAGCACCTGAGTTGGTCAGTCTCAGCTGCCCAGTGAGCAGAAGAGCAGCTCGCCAATGGTCATGGGGCAATAGAGTAGGTGATCAACCAGAATGACACCTCCCGCGCGGCAAGTGCCGTGGTAAATCCGCCGCGGCAAAAATAAACCAGCCGTATTTCAAAGTCGGTCGTGAAATGACCACCAGGTGGCGCAAAGGGACATTTAGCGAAAGAAAAACGTAATTATATAAAATTAGTCTACATTTTTAAATACAAAATTGCTTTAAATATAATCAAAACTTTTATAGCAGAACATTTTATTAATCAAAAGTTAAATTTGATTTAAGTCTAGTTAAGCCTATCTCACAGTCAGTGAAAATAAATTGGGTGCTTTCAACGCTATTGAGGACTGAATCAATCTTTTCGGTTTAGTTTCGTTTGTAATTGTTCTGTTTACAAGTTGACATTTCAATATAGATAAACGTTTCAGGTCTGTGGAGTAGGATATATTTATACACTAAGTTTATATTTATGAGATGCCCTCCGTACTCTGCGTGTCGTGATTATAATTGTTTGCTTTTACTTCTTATGTATTAAATCCAGGCAATTGGTTGATGAAACATTGATGAAAATCAAGATAAAATCGAAAGGAAAACGAAATTCACTTTAAATAAAGGCTTTGTGCTTTTCTGTTTGAGGTCTGTGGAAGTTTTAAATCCGTCTTTTAGTGCCGCTTCAGAGCGCTCACGTCCGAATAACGGAGAACTGTCACGTCTGTAACATTGATTTTTCCTTATAAGTGCGAACACTAAAAATAAAATAAATATTTTATGTTCTGTGGAGAGCCAACCCTTCCTCATTCGATTTGCGCAGTGTAATTCACAGAATTACAAATATATATATTTTGCCTCCTAAGTTAAAGATTTTTTGTCAAGCATGAATGCATGTCTATTTCATTAATATTAAATATAAAAACGCAGACTGATATTTTTCTAATGTCTGGACTCCTTTAAGGGAGTAGCATGGATAAACAGATGTTTCAATATATTGGTATTAATGCTTTTTCTGAGAATTTATATTTCAATTTTTGACTGCAAATGCCACGTCCATAACGGGTTTTATTCCGATCGACTCACAAATCGATGGCACAAACAGGGTGCGAGACCCAAAGGCACTCGAGACATCAGATTTTCACAAGCATCACATATTGCCACAACAGCATCTTCTACCCCAGATACGGCTCTGACAAGGATTGCAAACACTGGTCTCCTACCACCGCCTATACAGTACATCTTGAGAACAGATTTGAAGTATTAATGAATGAGAAATCCCTGAATTTGATGAATGTGATCGATCAAAGACTGAGCCAGCCGGTCGTTAACACATGCTGCCTTCCACAAGCAACAACTTCTGATGTAAACAGGGAACTTGAGAACATTCTGGTGAAACATAAGACTGCAAATCGACTCATCATTCATGTGGGGAAAAACGATATTCATAAAGAGCAGTCAGAACTCCTTAAGAAGGATTTCAATGAACTTTTTGAAACACTTAAAAGACTGAAAGTTCAGACATTCATCAGTGGACCACTCCCAGCAAGAGGAACAAACAGGTTTTCTCGGTTGCTTGGGCTCAACACATGGCTGCAAAAAACCTGCAATATAAAAGGAGTAAACTTCATAGACAACTTCAATCTTTTCTGGAGTCAGAGGCAACTGTTTCAACGGGATGGCCACCACCCAAACAAACTTGGTTCAAAAGTGCTAAAGGACAATATCTACTTCTCCCTCAATCATCCTTCTGCAGTGTGTGCCAACCCACTCAACCTGAATGGCACACACACACCTGGACACAATATGAATGACCACAGGACTTCATTTCAGCACCTGAATGGACATGTTGACATATCACACAAGGACAACGATAACACCATGCAGCCACAACAACTTCTGCTCACGGACACAATCTCAGCAGAGCCCTGCCCACAGAGCTCACCACAGACAGATTGTGACAAATCAGAACTGCTCCAAGATTCAGCAAGACATTAGGAAGACATTAAGGAAAACAACGAGGGAAACCAGGACAGCATACTACAGCCTCCAATAACACCAGAGCAACAGCCCCTCTCACCTGACACGTTATCACTCTCTCCAGAATCTCCACTTCTGTGCTTCTCAGAGAAAATGGAAAAACGGGTGTATGCTGGAACTAAACTATCACACTCTTTTGCTGCAAGCCCCCAGCAGGCCCCACAACCACCAAAGCTTGCGGGCACAGCTCTCCCTCCTCCTCCTCCCCCTGATAGAGCTCTTCGGCCTCTACCACGGCGCCAGGGCTCACACCCTCCTCCATCTGCTCGAGGTGAACCAAAAACAACTGATACCAACTCTCAATGATATGAGTCGGGTATCCGCTTTGATATCAGTAACTTTCTTAAATGTTTACAAAACAAGCGGGAACCCAGTGTGCCTGAATCCTTCTTTATAGCGGTTCAAATACATGATAGAAAATCTAAGGCCTTCAAAAGTCGCACTGCAAACCCATCTAATCTGGTGTCTATTACACGCCAAACTAAGATTGCCGTGGGGACAAAAAAGGAAGACTATAAAGTTTGCACTTTTAAACATCCGCTCACTTAAAAATAAATCACTTCTAGTCAGCGACTTAATAACCACATACAACCTGGACTTTATGTTTCTAAATGAAACTTGGCTAGAAGACAGCTGCAGTGCAACGGTCCTAAATGAAACATCCCCTCCTAACTTTACTTATATGAGTGTCTGCAGAGCGGGTAAGAGAGGTGGCGGCTTAGCTGATCTTTTTAAAGATGTTTATGAATGTAAGCAAATATCATTTGGGATTTACCCCTCTTTCGAATATCTGGGTATTGTGTTAAAAGGTGCTCCACGTATTTTACTTATCATTGTTTACAGACCTCCAAAATACTCTCCAGCCTTTGCTGAGGATTTTACAGAACTGCTATCAAAAATTGCCTCTGAGTTTGACTGTTTTGCCATTGCTGGAGATTTTAACATTCATATAGATAATGCAGAAAACAATATGGCAAAAGAAATCAAAACTGTTTTAAAAACTTTTGATCTGACTCAGCATGTACATGGTCCCACACACAATCGTGGACACACTCTAGATTTATTTATCAGTATGGGTTTAAACATCTCATCGATTGTTATTAAGGATGTAGCACTGTCTGATCATTTCTGTATTTTCTTTGATATATTAATCTCTCCTGCAGTTGAAGCTAGAGCTGTGTCTGTCAAGAAGAGATGCTTAAATGAGAACACTGGTGTGCTATTTATGGAGGCTATATCTTTAAAACCAAGCATATCTGCCGACTCTGTTGATTTTCTCCTTGATTCTTTCAACTCAAAAATTAAGAGTGTAATAGATGATATTGCTCCTGTTAAAGTCAGGAAGAATAGTAGACAAAAAGC